CACCATGTTCTCATCCACATAGACAAGAAGCCTCAGTCTTTATCTGTGACTCCAATTTGGTTCTGTGCCCATTGTCTTCCGTACAGTGGTTTGGAGCTTAGGTCCTGGAATGGCTTTCTGGGTTCAAATTCTAGTTCTAATTATTAGCTATATGAATTCTGTCTTCTGCTTCAGCCTCCCCATATAAAAACTGGAGTTGGGGGACCAGCAGTTAGCGTAATGGCTATGTCACTGGACTCCCATGTAGTCGACCGTGGTTTGAATCCTGGACCTGGCAGCTTAAACTCACACCGGGCACGTGTGCGTGTGTGCCCAAGATCCCGAGAGGAGAATGGAGAAAAAGGGATTGCGGCGTGGCCCCCCGTTTGGGGGGGGATTTTTCTCTCTCTGTCTCTCTGGCGAGCGTATGCGCCCTATAGCAAAAACCTCTCCAAAAAAAAAAATTTTAAAAAGAAAGAAGAAAATGGTGTTGGTGGGGCCAGCAGGTTGTGTGCTGGTTGGAGTACTGGACTCCTACATGGCTGACTGTGGTTTGAGTCCCGGAACTAGCAGCTTGCTTTCTCACTTTCTTTCTCTGTCTCCCTGGTCAAACTAAAAAATATAAAGTTAAATAAAATAATTTTAAAAAAGAAAGAAAATGGAGTTGGTAGTAGTCCCTTTCTTTTTTAATGCCAGAAGGTGTGTGTGTGAGAAGCAGCATCTAGTGGGTCCTGGTCATGCGTAGTCATTCCTCCAGTTCACTACCCCATCAGGATATTGAGCACATGCGTGCACCCTCTGTTTTTCAGAATGCTGGGGCCAGGATTCAAGCTGTGATCAGCCATGTGGGATCTGGCTTCCTCTGGTCAGCCCTTTCTCACTGCACTATGGGGCTGGCCCAAAATAGTGCCTCTTTTTTTCATTTTTGCTATGTGGTGTGTGTGCTTACCAGAGACAGAGGGGATAAAGAATGCATCCAATGGAGGGGTGGCCACACCACAGTCCCATCTCTTTTATTCTTAGAATTTTGGACACAAAAGAACATATGCCCAGTGTGTTTTCCAAGCTGCCAGGGCCAGAACTCTAACCATGTAGATGATCACATCGCATCTGGTGCCTTAGCCTCCATATCACCTGTTGGGCCAATAGCACTTTATTAAGTTGGTGGGGCTAGGAGGTGGTAGAGTGGGAATGCAACTGGACCTGCATGGGAGAGGTCCTGGGTTCATGCCCTACCACATCCTTCCAGATAAGTAGATGGCCACTGTCTGTATTTAGTCCTATTTATTAGCAACATACTATTCTCCACTTTCCATTATTTGTTCAAGTATATGTCACAAACTAAGCTGCAAATTAATCATTTAACATCTAGTTTTTCACTTATATGTCTCAGTTGCCTGGCACCATGTCTACCACATGACAAGTATACGAAAACATTGCCTGAGTCAGGCACCAGACAATGGCACAGCAGTAATGCAGGCAGACCCACGTAGGAAGCAAACCTAGGACCACACTGTGCATGCTATGCACACGTGCCTGTGGTTCAAACTGGCTGAGGCTGGAGGTGGGTCATGGTGCGAAGACCCTGTTGGGGCTCCCTATCTCTCATGGAAGAAATAAATAAACTTTAAAAAAAAAAATGGTGGAGGCCAGCAGGTGGCATGGCGGTTAAGGTGCTGGATACTCCCATGTGGCTGACCACAAGTCCTGGACCTGGTGGCTTGCTTTCTCACTTTCCCTCTCTCTCTTTGTATCTCTCTCTGGTCAAATTAAAATAAATGAATAATAATAAGTTTTTAAAAAGTGGGGCCAGCAGATGGTGTGGTGGTTAGGGTGCTGGACTCCCACATGACTGGCTACAGTTCAAGTCCCAGACCTGGTGGCTTCCTTTTTCACTTTCCCTCTTTATCTCTCGCTGTCTTTCTCTGGTCAAATTTTAAAATGGTAATAATAAAATTAAAGAAAAAAAGTTGGCTGAGTGAATCTAACCAGTTACTAAACCTGTCAGTTTTCCTTCCCAAATGTCTCTTGTCCTTTCTTTCCATTCAAGTCCTTATTCTTTCTGCAGGACTTACTGCAAAGCATAGTAAAAATGCTGACATTAATTTCTTGCTCTTTCCATTGCTACCAGAATCATGAATTGGAAGTAATTTTTTAAAAATTTATTTATTCCACAAATAATAGACAGACACAGCATCCCTGACAGGGTCTTGATGCTGTGATCCACCCCTACTTCCAGCCAACCCAGATCACGGGCACATGCACCCCTGGCTGCACTGGGAGAGGACCCTGGTCACGAACTGGGAATCTTCCCTTGTGGATCTGCCACACAGAGCATTGAGTTCTACTGCCGTACCCTAAGTTGGAACTCTTTCTTCCCAAAAACTTACCTATAAAAAGTCCAAATCCCTAGGAACCAGCAGTTGGCATAATGGCTCTGTTGCTGGACTCCCATGTAGTTGACTGGGGCTCAAGTCCCAGACCTGGTAGCTTAAACTCATGCCAGGTGTGCCCAAGATCCCGAGAGGAGAATGGAGGAGAAGGGATTGCAGCATGGCTATCTCCCCCACCCCGGGGGGTGATTTCTCACTTTCTGTCTTTATCTTTCTGGCAAGCGCATGTGCCCTATAGCAAAATACTTCTCAAAAATAAAAGTCCAAATTCCTGGGACCAGCAGGCAGCACGGTGGTTAAGGCGCTGGACACTCCCACATGGCTGACCACGGTTCAAGTCCTGGACCTGGTGGCTTGCTTTCTCACTTTCCTCTCTCTCTCTCTCTGTGTCTCTCTCTGATCAAACTATAATGAAGGAATAAATAAATAAACAAATCTTTTGTAAAAATAAAAAAGTAAAAGTCCAAATTCCTTACCAAGCATTCAAGGCTTCCCATAATGGGCCCCAAATTATTTCTATGCTCTTCCATTACTTCCTTCAATAAACTATATTCTATTACATTCGTCTCTTCAACATATCCTGTACTTTTACTCTTTTTTGTGTTGTTTAGAGAGATTTTTTGCTATAGAGTGTGTGTGCTCACTGGAGAGACAGAGATAGAGAGACAGAAAGCGAGAAATCACCTGCTGGGGGATGGATACACTGCAATCCCTTCTCCTCCATTCCCCCTCAGGGTTTTCTGCACGCATGCACACATGCCCGGTGTGAATTTTAAATTGCTGGGTCTGGGACTTAAACTGGGGTCAACTACGTGGGAGTCCAGTGACGTAACTATTCCGCCATCTGTTGATCTCACTTTTACTTGTTTTTAATTCATGCTTAAAACAGATTGCAAAGTGGTGGGCCTTAGCTGTTTTTGGTTGTTGTTGTTTGTTTTTTCCAGTTTGTTATAGGGCGTGTGCACTCACCAGAGATAGACAGAAACTGAGAGATCACTCCACTAGGGAGGGATGGCCATGCCATAGTCCTTCTTCTTCCATTCTACTCTTGGGATTTTGGGCACACTGAAACACATGCCCTGTGCGATTCTCAAGCAGCTGGGTCCCAGATTCAAACCACAAAGTAGGACTTGGGGGATCCAGCCACCCGAACTTACACACTCCTTGCTGGCCCCACACAAGTTTTAAAAACCATTAGCCACCTTTTTTGAAAGTTGTGAGACTTAGAGTAAGTATTAGGATGTCTGCGTTTCTGGGAAGATCCTAAGACCTGGCATTACTGGGTTTCTGCTTTTGTATAGCAGCTAACAACAGCTGCTCTACCAGATATCCCCTTTTCTCAGGGTATTTGTTACCTACCCAGCTTTTAAAACTGTTCAATGAAGAGATCAGGCTAATGGTGGGAGATAGCTCATCATGCTACAAAATACAGAGAACATGGGGCCGACAGGCGGCGCGGTGGTTGGGGGCACTAGACTCCCACATGGCTGACTGCAGTTTGAGTCCTGGCAACTTGCTTTCTCACTTTACCTCTCTCTCTCTCTGGTCAAATCAGAATGGATAAATAAATATAAATAAAATAGTTGTTTAAAAAGAAAAATACAGAGAACATCTCGGGCTGGCCAATAGCATGGTGGTTGAGGAGCTGGATCCCAATGGCCAAGTTCCGGACCTGGAGGCTTGAAAAACACACCCTGCACATGTCTATGTGGAGCCAAATCCCTACTGGAGAAATGGAGAAGAGACTGTGGTGGGACCACCCCAATGGGGAGGATGTTTTCCCACCTCCCTTCTTCCTCTCTGCCTCTCTTCAGCAAGTACACACACACTAGCAAATTTAAAAAATTAACATCTCTCCTCTTAGGACTTTTATCCCCAGAACTGTTTAACCTGAATCTCTTGAGACGCTATGTCTAATTTTGTTTAGTAAAATAGGGGCCAAAGGAACAAATTAAACAAACTGGGAAGAAGCAATCAGTTAAGTCCAAAAGATTACTTTCCAGGAAAACCAGTCCAATCTCTTCAATAAATTAGTGTTACACAAAAAAGGTTGTTTTGGAACCAGCAGTTGGCATAATGGCTATCTCACTGGACTCCCATGTAGTCAACTGCGGTTTGAGTCCCGGACCCAGTGGCTTACACTCACGCCAGGCACGTGTGCATGTGTGCCCAAGATCCCAAGAGGAGAATGAAGGAGAAGGGATTGTGGCGTGGCCATTCCCCCTGGGGGGTGATTTCTCACTTTGTCTCTCTCTTTCTGGCAAGTGCACACACCCTATAGCAAAAACGTCTCAAAAAAAAAAAAAAAAGTTTGTTGTAAGAGTCCAGATAGAGAGTAAAAGAGTTAAGAGAGATGATCTAATACATGGTCCTAGATTGGATCCAGGGTTAGACAAAAATGAGCTGTAAAAGTTCTTAGGACAGTTGGAGAAATATAAATAATATAGATTTGTATCATTATTATGAATATATTGTTAAATTTTAAGCACTTGTTACATTGGCAATGTCTTCTCAAATTAATATACTGAAATAATAATAAAAAAATTCCTCTCTACTCTGTCTTCCTCTTAATTCTCCTGACTGTAGAGTTGATGAAACTTTTTTAATAAAGGATGAAATATTTCAGGCTTTGTAGCAACTGCTAAGCTCTGTTGTACTGCAGAGGCAGCCAAACTAAACATGTAAACAAATGGGCACAGCTGTGTTCCAATGTATTACATAAGTAGGCAGCAGATTGTGAACTAGTTCGCTGACCTCTGGTCTAGAACAAGTGACGCTTCTGAAAAGCCTTTCTTGACCCATCAGAATCAGCAGCTTCAGCTCACACATTGCTAGTAAGTTGGCTTAGCGCACTTATTACGCCACACTCGTCATCTCCATCATGGAGGAAGTTCTTTAAGGGTAGATGCCGTTTTCCTGCTTGAACCACCCCACACTCAGTACTGAGTATCTTGACGGATAGACAGTGACTGTTTCCCAAACTATCCTAAAAGGAAGATATGGCACATTTATGACATTCAAAAGAATTAGCAGCAGCCTCTGAATGTAATCTGGAGGGAGTTTCGGGAGGGGGCACTGCTAGTTCCCACTCAGTTACACATGTTGTTTCTTGTGCTGTATGTTATGATGTGTTCATCACTATTAGATTTATGCTGGGTGCATGAAAAGTGCTCAAACATACAGTTCAAGGTGGAGGGAACATTTCCTTTTTCTCATGACAGAAAGGTGACAGCAAATGCTTACAAAGTCTTTATCAAGGTTTGACAACCAACCATAGCAGGGAGTTGTTTTCAGGTTTCTTTTCTAACATTTGTGTTCTTGGTTGGAAGACTTTGGCTGGTTGGGGGCATGGGAAGGGAGGATTCTTGCTTGCAATGGAATTCCAGATCCAAAGCAAATGTGATTGTGGGACAAGGGGGAAAGGTGCATGCATATCTTTTGTAGAAAGTATCCCCCAAACCCAGGAGCATTTAGGGAAGACATGGAGTTGAGGGCATAGGCAGACCCTAGAAAAATAATAGAAGTCAGATCACTGGATAGAGAGCTTTGGCAGCTACAGACAGGAAAGGAGACAGGAAGGAAGGATGTAGGACGGTAGAGAGCCAAGCAGTTGTCAAGCGCACGCCACTCTCAGACAGACAGCCCCTAAAACAGGTTAATTCTGAAACAAGGGTAGGTTAGAAAGCAAGAAAAAGTAAGGGAAGTGAACAATGAGAGAACATATAGGAGAAACCTTCACAATATGGGGAGTGATGCTGAATTAAGAATTTAGAGAGTTGAGTAAAAGGTTTATTAGTGCAGTCAACACCATGGAACAGCACATACAACACAACCAGCAACCCGCAGAGACACTAGTGCAAAGGGTAGGGAAGCCTTCATTGACTTCTGGCTCCACCTGGGGTGAGGACAGGAGTATGGGCCTTGGTAAGGCAGGCAGGGGCAAAAGGGAGGGGAAGAAATGTAGTAACCAGACTAAGTATAGCAGCGTTTTCAAATTCCTGAGCACAATGTCCTGGAACTGGAACATGACTATTCCCTACTTTGCCTCACGCTGTATCCCTCCACCCCAATCCCAGTGGAGCTGTGACCCAACTACCCAGACCTAAAATAAGTTGGCCTGGGATAAAACTTCAAAAAGAAGCCATTCTATAGTGGGGAGGAGCTTTTCAATCTCTCTCCAACCCTACCGCCACCTGCATATTAAAATCATCAGCTTCACACTCTCTCCCCTTTCTTTACTCTGCCAGTCACCCTAGAGATCAAGGAATGCCCCCAGGTAGCCTGAAATAAAACTGAGGTCCTTAGGGGAGTGGGTGAAGCAGAGCACAGCCTGGACTTAGAGACACAGCGGTACAATTTCTATCCCATTTGCCCAGTGAAGTTTAGAATAACAGCCTGCTTGCCAAGGATAGCTCCAAGGAAACTTGGAAGGGGTAAATTGCCTTCAAAATGAACACCCTTAAATCCAGAGCTTTATGATGACACCCTGGAAGGGCTGGGAGCAAACTTCTCCAGAGGGTGCAGGCATCAACGCTGGACTGTCACATCCGTCACGGAATAGAGAAAGCTCCTCAGTCTGAGGGCTGGGTAAGTTCAGCCAAGGACTCCCTCGGCTCTTCCTATATTAAAGCCAAAGGTTGTGCTGAAAGGAAAAATACAAAACAGACCCCCTTTCCCTGTCCCACCCTATCCAGAATCCCCACAATAGGAACAGCAAAAGAAGTTTTAAGTTTTTTTTTTTTTTTTCTTTTTTCCTTTCTTAAAAAAAAAAAAAAAAAGACGTAAATAAATTAAATTGCCAACAATGTGGCTGGGCCAGAAAGTAGGGCAGCCGAAACAGGCCATTCCAAAAAAAATGTAGGGAATGGGTGGTGGGGTTTGTAAAATATAAACAATGGCCAAAGGAAATTATCAAAATAACTACAATCGCAGGACAAGACAGGGGTCTATGGAAGCATTACGGCCTATGCCACAGGAGGCAGCAAAAGCCAGAGCTGCTGCTTGCTGAGCATATCAACCCCAACAGACTAACCCCTACCCCCAGCCCTGCCATCCCTAATTATGGAAAAATGTAGGAAAGAAGAACTCATCTGAAAATTTCCGGCATCCCAACCTGCACACCTGTAGGCCCAGCAGGAACCTACATCTTTAAGGTGGGCAGAACAGGGATATTGCTTGGCACAGAGGTCCATCTTACCCTAAGGGCCATCGATGACGGCCAATTACTGGCCTCACTATTAAGTTCTAGGGTTTTAGTTCCATCCTTACTATTTCTTCAGGGTGTCTGCTCCCCAGAGCTGCCCTCTAAATGCAGCTGAGAGTCAACAAGCCTGTCTGTTCTGATTCCCCAGTTTTTGAAGAGGGGGACAATTAGATTCCTCAACTCTACCCAGACCCTCTAGGGAAAATCAATTTCTTTGTGCTTTCTGAAACTCTCTGGAACCAGGGACCCTAAGAAAATAAGAGGCGGGGGCTTTCCCCTCCAGGTTGAGAATTCGTAGGCATTTTCGGGGAAGAAAATGGCAGAAGGAGGGACTCTGGTTTCCCATCTAACAGGCTGAGCAAAGTGCCCCAGGGCCCGTCAGTGCCAGAAGGGCAGGGAGATGTGGCTCAAGTGTAAGCCGCAGTGATGAGGACGGTGGGGAGGACTCAGGGTCCAGCTGCTGGAGTGATGGGCTTTCTGATTTCCATCTCTTCCAGATAGCCCGTGGAGTTCTATATCTCTTCCACGCCGTGCGCAAATATCATGACAAGCCCCGGCTCCTGCACCATGTCATCTCCCATGTGCTGGTTCTCACAGGCCATCACGACAACTGCCTGCTTGCCAGGGATGCGCTTGGCCACGTAGTTCTCATAGTAGCGCCGGTTCATCTGTCTGGTCTCTAACGTGGCCAGGCCCTGGGGCCAGCTACGCTCGTGGGCATTTTCGATCAGCTCGTTGACAATAGAGGCAGGACAGCCACTTTCCACCAGGGAGCGCTTGATGACAGCCTGGAGCACAGCATCTGGGGTCGAGATCATCCCTCCCCAACGGGTCACTCGTGCTGGCTGCAGGGAGTTCACCCACCTGTATGGAGGGGTTTGGATGTGGTCATTCTGGCTCATCCCTTTCTCTGCATTGGCTCTTTCTCCTAAGAGAAATGACCACCCACTCTATACTCAGCTTAACCCTATTCTCTTTCCTTCCATCACTGGCTCAGAAACCCCAATTCTTTGCCTAGTTAGGCTCAGTTCCGGCTTTCCCTAGTTAGGCCCAGTTCAGTCACCACATGTGACCAGATTAAATTCCATGAGTTTACATTCTGTCCCTGTTATTTTTCTCTGAAATTTTAATACTTGGCACGTATAGCACCTGGCATTAAGCGTTTGGCAAATGTTTCCTGGATGAAGCAATTATTCTCTCAAGCCATATACTCAGCACTACTGCCCTCCACAGACTGAGTCACACTTACAGTCTAGTCTGTGCAGTTTCTAGGTCTCCAGAACAGAGAGGAGTCTTAGGCTTCGCTTATGATTGCTGGGTTTTAAGATGACTTCCCTGGACTTGCACTTTGTCTCCTCATCTCTGGGCTGTAAGCTACCTGAAGATTGGGATGGTACCTTCCTTTTTTTTTTTTTTGGCCCTCCTGGCACTGTACAGCCTTTAGTACAGGGCTTTGCACATGATGGGTACTCACCTAATTCTGGATAAACTGCATCTTTGGGAGGCTTTCCCTTTCATTCACCCAAATGTCTGGAGCTAAGGGTTATCCTTGTCACTGCCCTTGTCCTTCATCCCCACATCTGAGAAGTGGGGATCCCAGCCCAGCTCTCTCACTGCCCTCCTCTGCCACTCCCCATTCTTCCTCCTTTCAGGCCTTGGTGCCAGGATGTGGAGTGACACTCACTCTAGGATCTCGTTGTATTCGATCGTCTCCTCCAGGTTCTGAAGGTTGGGGTTGACACTGCGGATGGCACGCATGTATGCCTTTAGCAGTTGGATGTCTCCATTCT